GTGTCGTCGATAGCGAAGGCTGAACCCCTTTAATCTTCTGTCGGCATTGGCTGCGGTGGATCTTCACGCACGTTCTTGCCTGGCCGTCACATGCAAGTTAATTATTTTTTGTTGGCGATAAGACGACCAGTCGGCAGATTAATGGAGTAGAAAAAGGCTCATTCATGTCTTGCGTTGTACGCTGTCAGCATGTCCTCGGGCTACCAGACAATCTTCTTTTGTTGCCTGCTTTTAATAAACGTGCACTGCTGGGTGACCTGACATCCACGCGCCAGGCTATCTGTGCAACTCAGTCTTTGGCCAGTACCTTTTAGAGGTAATAAGGCATCCAAACTAGAGCAGCAGTTGCTACGTTCAGTGTTGACTGTCAAAAACCGTACAGTCGGATCTGCACACCGACCTGTCAGTCCACGTCAAATCTGCACGTCTGGAGAAGATAGACACAGAGTCTTCGTTGAAAAAAAGCCGCCTGTTGTTGCGCATAAAACATGGCTTCGTACCTGCAAGGCTGGGGCGCCGCAGGGGGAGGGGAGAGGGTGGCGCACAATATCCCTCGAGCGACTGTCAAACCTGGCGTCGTGCTGGGGTTTTTGCGAAGAATTGCGCGCTACGTTTGCTATACTCCTGACTGTTCCGAAGCACAATGCCAACTTAAATACTGCTTTTATTGAGCACAATCTGGGGTACAGCCACAATTATCGCAGCTTGCTATTGCATATATTTAAAATACAGTATAGATTTGGGTGACGAGCAGCCGCATCAGCGGGCATTTCGGGCAACGAGCGAGCAACTAGCAAGAACATGTCTCGTTTGAAGAACTTCCGCTCAGTTAACGAGCTGTCAGTGCGTGTGTATGTGCCTGTGAGTCTTGCTCCCAAGGCATAGGTCGTCGGTCACCTGCGGCCAATCAGTGAAGTGATGCAGTTTGCTTGGCTACTTTCCACGAGACAAGCGTTTTACATGAGCTCGGTGCCGGAACGGATTAAAATTGTTAACCGAGGTTCCACTGTAGGTCTTTTCCACCAATGACCTATCGCCCTAACCTGATTCCCTCCAGTCGCATCCTAAAAATGAAAATCAAACGTTAAGTTCCTCTAAGTAGTATTCTTGGCTTAAGTCGACAATGTGATAAACCTGACAAGTTCACCAGAGTTTGCGTCACGCGCCTTCCAGGATCTAGGTCGGCTTGTTGCTTCTTTATTTTACTACCGATACTGTATTTAGACAAGTGGGATCTGTTTAAATGCCATCGTAAACTGTTGGTATACCTTTTCCCAAATGGTTTTTGTTTTCAAATCCCATGTGACTCGCACTTTAGAAGTTATTCTTCCTCCTCCACCAGGTGAGCGGGCATGTGGTTCAAATCAAGGAAACGTGTGGCCGTGCCTCAACCGGTCGGCCGCCTCGAGAAGTCGAAATACAACAAAGTCAAGAAGTCGGGTACCGCTCGAATTTTGTGGTCCTCTCTCTACTGTTCGTTCGGGCGAGGCGACCTGAAAGCCGCGTCTAAAGATGGTTCCTTTTACTCTCGGCCCTCTACAAAACTGGTTGCGGTGAGTAAATCCCCTGTCAAGACGCGGGATCTCACGGCGGAGGCCAATCGGGTCCCATCCGGTTGTGTTAACCGTGTACTCCCAGCCATTCCACAACTACAGACGAAAGATTGCTTCCCCCCGAATGGAGTGTCTCCTCTTCCCGAGGTATACTTCATGCGGAGGGCCTTCAAAAGACAAGCTCCAGGAGGAGACCTTTATCCAGAATTTTTGGACCTGATGGAGCCCAAGAACAAGCTCGCTCGTCTGAGTAGC